GCTGACGTTTCGGGCCTAGACCCTTCATCAGAAATGGGTCTAGGCCCGAAACGTCAGCCTTTTTGCTCCTGTGATGCTGCTTGGCCTGCTGTGTTCATCCAGCTCTGCACCTCGTTGTCTTAGTAAATCAGAAGTGTTTTTTTTACAAAATCCCAGTAGCTTCATGACCACCATTAAAAATTATATTAGTTTTTTCCTCATATCAGATTTATTCAACTGGTTGAATTGAAATTCCTTTGCTGGATTTGAACCTGTGGCTCACGACCATTATGGTACTGTACAAGTGTCACAATATCTTTATCATTCATTTTATTAACTACCCTTTTAATGGTGAGCAGAATACAGGGTATTGGACATGGAGGCATTGCGTCATCTTCAGCGAACATCTGTAAGTATGCCCTTTCTTCAAAGCTTATGAGATAGTGATCAGGATAATGAAGCTAAATGCTCAAAAGACATTCACTGATGTTCAATGCTTTAGCCTACTCACTTTAGAGATGTGGCCAGAATGTTCTGATAGTTATAATGATGCTGATGATGCTGCTGCTGGCTTAGTATCTGCAGCTGGAGGAATAGCTGTTGCTGTTGGAGCAGCCTCGCATAGGCTGAATCCATTGGAGGTGGGGACTTCTCTGGCTTTTGATCCGGTGGAATGTATTGGTGATACTTCAGTTTCTTCACCTTTGGTTTTGTATCCTTTGGCTTCTTGTGGCGCTGGTTTTTTCCATCAGGAGATGGTTTTGTCTAATTTTTATGGAAGAAAATGAAAGGGAATATTTTAACTCTCTACACATTGAGCCATGTAATAAAGAGAGGCAAGAATTAGAATTTCCGATTCATTCTTGCTGTTGACGTATTGCTGGAGATCTGGGAATTCAATGTGACATTTGATACAAACATCATTTTATAATTTTCAGGTGGCAACAGTTTGAAGTCTGTGACAGGCGAACAGATGTCTCAAGATGTGATAGTAATACATTTTAGACTGCAAACAGATGGTTTGGACAAAACGGGATGTCAAAAGGAGTGCTACATCTAGGGTCTAGTGAAACTCATTGATAAATCCAACAATGAATTCACATTACAGGTTTAGCAATAATGTAACACTGTTCTGGCTTCACACCCAAATCTAAGCTCACATTGTATAAACTGGGCTTTTAAGATCCAAATGCATGATAAAATTAAGTCTCATGTCATCAGGCATTCTCTAGTCACTTATGTTAAAAACCTGATGTCATGAAGGTCTCATTTATCACATCACCTTTTCTATGTTTTTCAGACTGTGCTATGTCCTGACCTTTCATGTAAGTTTTTAATAACTTAAATGCAGATTTTTGATCAAAATGAACTTTTTCAACCAATCCTATTTTCTTTTGGACCTAGTTGTTTCAAAAGTAAATTTCATTTAAAATAAACTTCCCTTTGCAAGTATGCTTCATGCACAGATGTAATTTGTGTTAAATTTTGAAATGAAACTGATTTGGGTCAATTGAAAACAAAAAAAAACTTTCTGTTCTGATGGATTGTTGTTGACAATGCAGTACTATGGTAGTTATAACCGTTGTGAAGGGATTGAATGGAATGAAGTAACAGATGGGTGCCAACCCTGCAGGAGGTTTGAAAGAATAAAAAAAAATCTGGTTATTGTTAATAAATTTGAACCTGTTCTTCAACATTCCAACCCCAGCATGCAAAAGAATCCTCAAAGAATTAAAAATGGTATCAACGGTAAATTTTCAAAGCATAGCATCCTCAAACATTTTAGAACACACTGGATAAATGCAGGACAGCCAATAATAATCTGATATGATACATGGAAGTGCTGTTGGTTGGAATGTGTTAATACAGCAGCATTATTGTTTGGAAATTAACATATCACACCTTGCTACCCTCTGATGATAACTTCTTCTCAAAGTAATCAGTGCTGGGTCTTCTATCTAACCAAAAGATGCTCGTGCACGTATCAGTTCAGTAATACAGGTAAACACAAGGCACTGTACATTTTATTATATATTTAACCCTTTGTTATATACTTACATATTGGTCAGAGCACAGAAGCAGGCTGCATGGTCTAACAAGTCCATGGCAGTGTTTCTGGTCCACACAAGTTTTTTCTCCTTTCTTCATTCACCATATTAACATATCCCCCTATTACTTTCTCCCTATTTATTCATTCAACTTTCACTCAAATGCCACTATTCTAGTTATCTCAACTATTTCTTCTGGCAGTGAATTCCACTTTCTAAGTAGTCACTGCGTAACCAAATTTCTCCTGAATGCCTATTGGTTTTAATAATGATTATCTTTAATAATGACACCCCCCCCCCCCCCCCCCCCCCCGCCAGTTCAGATCTTCTGTGGGAACGGAAACATCTTCTTTACGTCTATGTTATCAGAATAATTCGAATATGTACAGATAGGTGGCAATTGGCAGATTGCATAACTATTGGCTAAAGAGAAGAAAGCAGAGATTAGGGGTTTTTCAGATGCGCAAAAGGTTGGAAGTGGTATTTCATAAATGTTTGGTGCTGACACCATGTTTATAATCCTAAAGAATTTATCAGGTCACACTCAGAGTTCCAACCTGTTCAATTCTTTATCAAAGCTTCAATTTCTTATTTCAAAATAACCGTGCCAGTAACTATATTTTACATCATCTTCAGTCCTTTCTGAGTATTTTTTATAATATGGAGATTAGAACAATTTGCAGTTTTTCAAGTGTGGTAAACCAAGTTTGTATAGAAGTTTCATATTGCCAATTGTACACTCATGTGGCAAATTTATGAATGGATTTCTGAGTTCATCTCTGTATTAGCTAACGTCAACCAATTAGTTGCCATCTGCAAACTTGTATTTTCAATTCGTTTCCAATTCACTATCCCAGAGTGTGCTGGGACATTGAATAAATTTAAGTGTGACATAGTAAGATGTTTGATTAGTAATGAGTTGAATGGTTATGGAGACTGACAGGAAAGTGAAGTTGAGGCCAAAATGAAATCAGCCATGAACACATTAAATGGTGGAGCAGGCGCGAGAGGCTGAATTGCCTACTCCTGTTCCTAGTTTTAAATTGCTAATATAATTGATGAGTAACAATAGTTTCAGTATTGAACCATGTGGTTCATCACTTCTGACCGTTGTCAATTTGACTAACTACCTTTAACCCCATCTCTCATAATTTCTCTTACATAGCCAGTGGCTATACAGACTGCTGGTTGCTGCCTCACGGTTTATCTTCGAAACTTAGTCATGAGTCAAATTATTGAAAGGCTTTGTGGAAGATCTGTTGGAAATCTAAATACATTTTACCTATAGTATTACTCTTACCTAGCCTTTCTGTTACTTCTTCAAAAATTTTTATAAAATTGGGGAATTGTGATCGTGCTTTCTGAAATAGAATCCCTACAGTGTGGAAACAGGCCCTTCAGCACAACAAGTCCACACCGATCCTCAGAACATCCCACCCAGACCCATCGCCCTATAACCCACCTAATCTACACACCCCTGAACACTACAGGCAATTTGGCATGGCCAATCCACCTAACCTGCACATCTTTGGACTGTGGGAGGAAACCGGAGCACCCGGAGGAAACCCACGCGGACATGGGGAGAAGGGGCAAACTCCACACAGACGGTTGCCCAAGGGTGGAATTGAACCCGGGTTCCTGGTGCTGTAAGGCAGCAGTGCTAACCACTGAGCCACCATGCCGCCCTGTCAGTGTCAACCACAGACCTGTGTTATATTTGCAGTTTCCAAATACTTTTCCATTAAATTTTTGAGGAAGGATTCAATTGTCTTTTCTACCATCAACATGAACTCTAACTGCTAGAGAGCACCCAGACTCCTTCTAGTTCCCTTTTTAAGTACAGGAATTTGTATGCCAGTCCTCTCTCATTATATACAAAAAATATAAAAATCTACTATCTCTTCCCTAACTTCCTTTAATATGCATCATTGCAACCCATCCCATCTTGGTTTTTGTCCTCTCCAAAGCTGTTTAGTTTTTCGTTATTTATCTTTTGCATTTATGTCTTGACAATAGAAAGGGAGGTAATCATGTCCATCATGTTAACCTCCATGATAAATATCAAGGTGAAATAACTATTTAATATTCCTGTGATTGTCTGTTGTTGCAATTAGATAATTTTACAATAACTATGCTTTAAAACTGTAACTTTTGGTTTATAAAATGTTCTAGGTGCTGTGATTTTAAATGTGTGGTAGATGAAAGAAAGATTGATCTGGACAGGTTTTCAGAGAGGTCTCCACTTGCAGGTCAAGTGGCAAGTCTGGAAGGTGGTGAGAGGTGTTTACACCTAGTATAATAGTGACCTCTTGGAATCATAGAATCATAGAATCCCTAATATCTCTTGTGGAAACGGGATGCTGGTCAGCATCTTGGAAGAGGGTTTGACTTTTAAGTATAAATCGGGGGCTGGGGATGTAGAAGGGGGCTACATCATTTGTGTAATCCCTCCGTATAAGAAAAAGTTTGGAAGCACCTGGTAAATGAAGGAAGGATTTCCAGCATCCATGTACTATTCATATCAAAGGATAAGTTCAAAGTTACAGATAATTAATTTATATTTCTATCTGGGAAGAGGCCGTGTGTGTGACATTGCTTTGGAAATAGGTTTAGGAGTTAGGAATTTTTTGCTTTGATATATATCAACTGTTTTCGTCAAACGGAAAATCAGAATCAGAAATGAAAGATGTTTCCAATTTTGAGTCACTGTGCAATTATGCACATAATGCTCATGCTGGGGATGAACAGGGCTGGAAGATTTGCCTAGCCTAATGCTTTTGGGAGAAATCTCAAGACATTCTATCTCAGAAGGTAACTGGGAAAAGGCAAAAAATCCACAGTGTAATTCTTGGACATTTTATGTGCTGCATAAGAAAAGAGTCCTGTAAACTTTGCAAAACCTTTATACCCTGCACCTCCTTTAGTGACCTTTTGCAATTATTAAATCATTTGTTTCTGATTTCACTGCCACTTACATTCCAGATGCTTAGGTGCAGCATGCTTCCAAGTCCCAAAATGTTTCTTTTTAACTTTTTACGATACATGAGGGAAAAAAAAAACTATCAGGTAAAGATTTTTCTTTGGAAAACATGAAGTGATAGAGGATGGATCTCTCTGAGTCAACAGTGTTACATGCTGTTCAGATGCTATTTCTATTGAAAGGCTGTGCATTGGAATGAATCAAATAACAATTATGCTCTTACAGGATATTATATCACATAAGATCCTGTAAGGACGTGGCAGTGTGAATGCTAAAAGAATGTCTCTTCTAGTGGAGTATCAGTGAGAACTAAGGGACAGAGTTTGAAATATAGCGTTGTGCATATAAGATACAGATGAAGAGAAACCTTTTCTCTCAGACGGCAGTGTGCGTCTTTGGGACATTCTTCTCCAGAGCGCATGGAAAGTTGAGTCACTGAATATTTTTAGGACAGAGCTAGATAGATTCTAACAAAGTGCTTAGTGGTTATTTAGAATAGACAGAAATGAGGAGATAAGACCACAGTCAAATCAGATATGATTCATTTGAAGAGTGGAAAAGGCTGGACTACTCTTGCTCTTATGTTGTATGTTCCTACGTGAAGGATCACAGAATCCCCACACTGTGGAAGCAGGCGATTCAGCCCATTGGGTCCCACCGACCCTCTGAAGAGCATCCCATTACACCCACTCCCCTACCTTATCCTTGTAACTCAGCACTTCCCATGGCTAATCCACCTAGCCTGCACATCTTTGGACTGTGGGAGGAAACTGGAGCACCCGGACAAAACCCACGCAGAGACGGGGAGAATGTGCAAACTCCACACTAACATTCGCCCAAGGATGGAATTGAACCTGGCTGCCAGGTGCTGTGAGACAGCAGTGCTAACCACTGAGCTACAGTGCCACTCTGACATGGATGAGCTGAGACTTGATGCCAAACACTGTTCACCTCCTAACAACAACAACTTGCATCCTGATACCTGTTCTCAGGTCCCTGTGCATTCACGGGGAAATTTGTATTGAAATAAAATTTGACATCTGCATCAGGAGAGATTAAGACAGTCAAAAGAGGTGGACTTTATAGACCCCTTAATGTAGTAAAGAAAGAAGGCAGGCAGATAAAGAGTGGAGACATTTCACATGGCAGTTCCAGATTTTAGGGTCTGGGAAGCTGAAGACATAGCATCCATAGGCTCAGTCATTAAAATCAGGGGTGCTCAAGAGGCCAAAATTGGAAGAAGGCAGAGATTTGAAAGGTTATAGGACTGGAGGATGGTACTAAGATTGGGAGTGGTAAAGCCAAGGAATCAAGATATTGCCAGACTGGAAACTAATGTTGGTCAGTGAGCATCATTGTCACGGGGAATTAAGAATTGATGCAAGTTTTGGATGAGCTCAAGTTTACTGAGGGTGGAAGCTGGTCCTGGAGAATTTTGGAAGAGTCCATTCTGGAGCTTGTAAAAGCACTGATAAGGGATTCAGTAGTATATTTATGTTAACCCATTCCAGCTTTGTATCAATGTGGAAGCCTGGCCACTGACAGTCTAAATTTGTGTAAATAGTACAACTTGTGACTGATTTTAACGGGGTTTCCAACTTGGACCTCTCCGAAATTTCAGGAAAGCAAAAGATTGAACTGGTAAGGTCAAAAACCTACAGCACCGTAAACCAAAACATATCTTGTGACAGAAGAAAGACATGAAAAACTGTTAAAATGTTTAACCCTCTGTGGAACAGGAAGGCGAACATTTTCATAATTATCCTGTTGCAAGTAATTAAAAACGTCATATTCTACATTTTACTCCGAATATCTGTCTTTTACATCCCTTCCCTGCAAATTAATCCATTGGAACATTTCACTTTTAATCTTCCATTGAAGTATGTCATTAGAGCATGTTTAATAGCTTTGTTTATTGTGCTCTGATGATAAGTCTCACTAGAGATCAAACCAAGCTTACTTTAACTATAGCTGGCACTGGTATTGGTGTGCTAATCTGCCCATTCAGCTGCTTTTGGCTTCCTGGCTGGTTGATCTGGTTGTTAGATGTAGTCCTGTTTGGATCACACTGCTGGGAGAGGTGAGGCAGATACTGTAAAATATAATGGAAAGAAGTTAGTCAGCTGCATGGTTCGCGGTTATTCCATGCTTTTCAGATTTGACCCTACTCTTTCTTTAATTGTGCACATAATCAGCTGGAAACCTGGAAACACATTTTTAGGCAAATATGCTCTGATATATCAAGTTTGCAAACTTGTGAGGTTGTGGTTGTTTTGGTGACAATTTGATACATTTCTATCTGAGGAGTTGGGCACTACCAATACTTTTATCTTGTACAGCCAAATCTAAAACACTTTGAAGGCTAAGTTAATCTTTACCATTTCACAATGGAATATCACATCATTAATCAATGGAATAACTAATTTATCTCTTAAGCATCTCTGCTGCTTCTCTCCTCCACTGGCATTTTATCACTCATTATGGTGACTATCACCCTCATATCAAACCCCTCAGTAGCCAGCTGCTAAGACATAATTTATGACAATGCATTCAAGCCTATTTATTCAATTTTCTTCTTTAACAACAAGATGAAGCATTTTTAGCATTGCAAATGATTCTGAAAGGATCCCTGGTGAGGTCAGCTAAGCTCAAAATAGAGTTTCGAACTACGAACCAGGGATGTAAATCTGCATTGACCTAGCACCTTACATGACAGCAAAATGTCCCAGAGCACTTTACAGCTTACAAAGCAATAAGGTGAGAGTAGCGTCAAGTGACATATTTAAGTTTTCAAATTTCCAGCTCTCGACTGAGCTGACAACCTGCTGCTGATAAATTAAGACAACACTTGCGACTGCACAATTAAATCTGTAATAGTTATTGAGGAGAAAATTGTGAAACAACATAAACAGAAGAAACTTTGCATAGTCTGAACTTAAATTAAGATTTGCAAATTGTGTGCACAAGAACTTGGTAGACTCTTCAATCCTGGATCCAGAAAACACACACACAAACATACATCAAACTATAAAAGCAAAATTGTACATGAACACAAGTGAAAAATGTACACTGACAAACTATCTGCTTTGAAGAGTTGTTTTGACTGGTTTTAAATCTCAGTTGTGTGAACATTTAGAAAGCACTTATAAAAGACCATTTAGAGGATTCTTATAAAGCCTGGATAGATCTTCATCAGTAATGCCCCTAATGCTGCAGATGTGAACAGTATGTTGTTTTCAGCAAACTCATAACACAAGCACGATAAAGGCTGTTTCATTTTTCACCTTGTTCATTTTGCTATTCCTGCCTTCAATCTCATTTACTCACTATTATTTTATTGACCTATTTATTCTTTTCTTACATTTGTTCTTGCACACATATTTTGGACAGAGGGTGAGGAACACAGTTACTACCAGTATTCTCCATAGAAGGGGCTTGAGATGGATGCAATGGGCACTTTCATAGACATCAATCAACGCTGGTTAACTTTTGAAGACTTTAAAAAGCAATCCTTTTGAAAACCTCCTTTCAAATTTTCCCAACTGACTGCTGGGAGTAATGCTGCACACAGACTTAAAACAAACAGGTTTCCTCTGCTTTATTCTTAAGATAATCTTAAACTGTCAGTAAGGATCGAGAAGCAAAATCTCTTGAGAGATCCAAGCAGCAAAAGGGCTGGAAAATTATGACATTGACAAGTCATGCAGTGATTCGTTTCTAAGACCTGTGGCTGTTCAACTGGAGCCTGCTCTAAATTCCTGGCAATTATATACTTATGACTGTTTGACAGTCATTTATAGCTGAAAACATTTGCAACAAAACTGTGAGCTGCAAATGGTCTTTTAACCTTGCAAATATTTTGCAAATGGTCTTGCATTTGCCAAACTAAGAGTAAGCACATGTAATTGGACCTTTCAGCTACATAGAGCTATCCATCAGATCAGATGGCTTCACTTAAATGTTCAGACACGTGAAACCAATAATAGTTTATCAGTCTCTTGCCACAAACTACAATTGCTGGCACATTGACAATTGTGCCTGAAAAATCATCATGACCAGTGCCAAGTGCACCAGATATTGGTATGAGGGGCCAGAGTTGATGCCAAGATACTGTCATTTTCAGTTCGACAGTCATTCAGCAAACAGAGGACACAGTAATAATCATTGCTCCCACCTGCAGTGTAATATTAATTTACCAAATATAAAGAATGTGGAGATAACATCATAGACAGAACTGACAGTAGATCAAAATGCATTTGATGGAGATTTTACATAAGTCTATACAATGCCTCTGTACCTAAGTTTCTGGACAATGTACACACAAATATTATGGTATACACATATCAGCTGAGTACGGTATATACATGGACTCTGTGCATAGAGTATTTGTATATGCAATACACAATGCAGTTCCCCAGCTCATGGATATTGATACCATAACTTGGATGCAAATTTTCAAATTTTGTCCTCGTTGTAACGTTGAACAAATTCTGCCCATCCCTCACAGTGTATTTATATATTGTTCTATTCTGGAATATGTAACATGTACTTGGAATGTATGGAATCCACACCGTGATCTGCTGACACAATAATGCATTCTGCACTTACACTTTCTAAAGTCCAATAAGAAGACCGAAAACACTATGATCTTCTCACAGGTATTTCTATGATATCAAGGAGTTCAGAGGTTTGACAAGCTCTTGCAACTATAAAATCATTGAACAAAACAATTTTTACCTCACAATCTTGGAAATAATTAAACCTCCCACAATCAAGCAGAAAATATAAAATATTCTTTTACAACAAAACATTTTCATGGCAGTTGATTATCTACCTGTGAATTAATGACAATGGCAGCAAATCTGTGGGTAAAATACTGCAAGCACTCAGCACATGAAGCTTTTAGAGTGTCAAAACACTGTAGCAGTTTGTTGAAGGAAGAGATTTCCCATGAGATCTGAACCACGCATAAATTGCTGGACAAATTGTGTGCTACACCACCAGCCTTGTGAAAATTGCATCATGCCATCAACCTTTCCATGTATTAAGAAACTGGTCCATTTACACTGTTAAAATGAATAAAATCTGCTGCAGAAATCTGGGGCTGGTCCTCAATATAAAGGCGCTTTCAATGGCTGAGTTTACATTCTTACAATCACATTTTAACTCACTGAAGGGAACAATCAAAATCAGGGAATCTTATAGAAGGCAGTTGGGATCCCTGCCTTTATTCATTGAGACATAGTATTTCGGACCTGGGAGGATTTGCTGGAACTGTATAAAAAGTTGGTAAGGCTACAGCTAGAGTTTTGTGTTGTGGAATTCACATGATAGGAGGGATGTGGTTCTACACGAGGAGGTGCAAAGGTGATTTACTAAGATGTTGCCTGGGCTAGAGAGTTTGGACAGACTGGGGTTGGTTTCCATGGCACAGAGGAAACTGTGACAGGACACGATTGAGATGTATAAAATTATGGGAGACATAAATAGGAAGCAACTTCCCTTTGATGGGAGGGATCAATGAACGGGGACATAGATTTCACGTAAGGGGCAGCAGGTTTGGAAGGGATGTGAGGAAAATCTATTTCACCCAGAAGGTGTTGGGAATCTGGAACTCACTACCTATAAGAGGTGTAGAGGTAGAAACCATCACAACATTTAAGTATTTCAATGTACAATTGTGATGCCAAGGTATACAAGGCTATAGGTTAAGTACTGGAAAGTGGGATTAGAATAGTTAGCTGGTTGTTTTTGAATAGCACAGACTCAATGGGCCAAAGGGCCTTTTCTGTAATGTAGAGCTCTATGACTGTGAATTCTCATTCCTTTAGATTGTAAATTGTTTCTACAGGTTCTAAAAATTTCAAATTAAAGTAGGTTTTGTAATTTTCCTCTCCCTAACTTTTCATACTCTTGTTGTACAATCTTTATTTCCCTCTCTGTATTGCTCCTTTTGTGTCAAATTTGACTCTATTTCCTTCTACTTTCCTCACTGTTTTTCCTATTTATTCCTATCCATCATTGAACGAGTTTGGGGGATAATCTTGTTGTTTACTAAGATCCCAGATGCCCGTGTACTTCCAGCACCTTGCGCTGCAGGAAGGTAAGCTATTGGGAAAGGAAGAAAAATCTAACAAATGGAATATTCTGTCAGATGACCTACTCCAGCAAGCTCTGGCCTATAACTGTTCCCTTTGTGTGATTATATGAACACCTTACAGCTCATTTTATTGATAAGGTTATAAACTACTCATGGATTTTTACTATCCATTAATCCCTGCCCTCCCTACAACCTGCTGTTTTGAAGCCCTGTCATTACAATGGAGGGCATTTCCACCAACCTGCCATACAGTAATGCTGGACCAGACTGGTGGAACATCCAGGAAAGTGACAGAAGTGTCAGTTTCTATTGTGGAAACCCCTCAGAGATTCTTCTCTCAGAGCTACAAGAGGAGATCCTCTTTGGGATGTCAAGGTTTCACATCCTAGACTTGGATTCAACATATCCATGTCAATACAGTGATTCACTGTTTTAGTTCACATACGAATTCATGATTCACTCTATGTTCTTTCCTCAACATTTTGGCTGCATCTATCATCTGTATTAAGGTCATCGGCCCTTCTGAAGTATTAGTCATTTAAAAGAACCATCTGAAAAGTGAGTTTTGGCAGCTTCTCAAAGTCTTCCACTAGATCAGAAGATAAGTACAAATATGTACAGTCACTTAACCCACCTTTCTTCCAGAAATACCCTACATTCCTTCCATTCCACTATCTATATTTCTTAAATAATTCAAAGGTTTTTCACTTCCTTCACAATGCATTCCATTCCATGTGTGAAGAACAGTTTCCCACTTCAGTGTTAAATTTATTAGTAATTATTAATTTATTAATTAATGCTCTATTTCAAGAGAGTGAGAAACAATTCGGGCAGGCAAAGTAAGAAAAAGAAATTTAATTTTAAATTTCAAGGTACTCAAGAAACAATTTATGATCTGAAGGAATGAGATTTCAGAGTTTTTGGATCAGAGACTCTGAATGGCATTCCAGAGGCATATATCCAACTATCAAAATGGGTTCTCAGCTCATTAATGACGAGTCCTGAATTATTGTGGTGAAGTTAATTCACTTTAATAGCACTTGTGTAGCAATTTCTTGAAACATGTGGTGAGTTGATAATAAGGTACTATTTTTGGGAGACTAATGGCAAATAAAGCCCAAGTTGACCTATTCTCACAATTAATTGGAAATAACTACCCGTATTTATCTTCCCATATTGTGTTCTATATGCCTCTACAAGATCATTTTTTCACTGTCTCCATTCAGGTTCAAATTTCTCCAATATTTTTTCAGATGTCAGATATCGAGCACCTCAGATCACTGTTATGCTGCTGTTCTGAACTGCTTATGCCTTACCTTGTTTGTCCTCTGGTAAACAGAGACAAACAAATTCCTCATGGTGTGGTCTGAAAAAAAGCACTGCTTAGTTATTGAGCATGCCTTGTAGCCTACTGATTTGATATACACAGCTCAGCATGCTATTTGCTTTAACTCTGCACAGAAACATGAACAAGAAAAGTTTTGCAATAAAGTTGCGTACAATATTGAGACTGTGGTTGCCTTTTGCAGTAACTTAATGGAAATTCTGTAAACACTGCAATTAGAATGGTAGGCCATGACAATGAAGTGTATGCTCCTGTATGGCCACTTTGGTTCAACAATATAGAAGTGGCATCTGAAACATTGGCAAGGTTATTTATTGTTGTTGCCTTGATGACAGAGTGGCCACCTTTGAGGGCATTATGAGTTGGCTATGTTGTGCGAACTAGAGTCAGCTTTCTTATCAGGTCAGGCAGGGGTGGAACATTCTCTTCTGGTGAACCAATGGGTTTCCAAGGCAACCTAGCTATTTGAATGGCTACTATCTTCAGGCCAAATACCACTGGAGGCACTAAATACAAATACACTACCTGTCAAAATGCAACCTTCTCAAATTTACTACCATTAGAATTACTGCCACACAGCAATATATTTTTGAAACTGCAACCTGAATATTAAAAACAGATCATCACCCTCGATAAGGAAATGGCCCAGGAAGCGATAATGGATTTGCTCCAGTTGATGGTGCTGCCATTTCCCTGGCCTGCCAGTTAACACTTAGGCAGGAATCATCACCGAACAACAATGGTCATGCCCTCAGACAATATAAATGAACAGTGTGAGCTTCCTTAACAATCTTCTCCACTCCCAACTCACTGAATTGACTCTGTACTGCTTCTGTTTGACAAGAATGCCTGAGATTTATGAATTCCTGGTCAAAATCAATATGACAAAATAAAAAGTAAAAAGGAATAGCAAAACAAGTGGAACTTACAGTAGTCACTGGAGATTGTTTATTCATTCTCATTTGACTGTGTTATTGTGAAATCCCATGTCTAGGTTTCAAAAAGGTTTCGAATAAATCTATGAAATAAGCTAGTCTCTTTCTGAAGAGAAAGCGTCTCTGTAAACTGCACCATTCTAATGTCAAGAAGGAGGGCTGATTACTTGGTATGAAACTTTTGCTCGTGGTAGCTGTCAGAAACTACATGATGAAAACAGATTGCATGCCATTTCAATTTAGTCCCATTCTCTGGAAGTGCCTTCATTATGATCAGTTCCTCCTCCTGTAATGGAGTTAGGACTGGGTACTCAACTTGGAGACATTTACAAAGAACAATCTCACATGGCATCTGCTCTGACTGTGCCACCTGCGAGGAACTTCAAGGCCTTTCAAGTGATACTTGCAGGTCTGACAAGGTATCAAGATGGCCTCCTTAGTGTAAATATGAAATTACCATTAACTTCCTGTACAGTTATTCAAATGAGAAGCTGAAAGCAAATCTAAAGTCAAAAATCATGCTTAGTCGTTCTTAAGGAAAACCAAATGGCAATAAATCTTGGAAATCTGAAATAACAACTGAAGGTACCAAGAAACTCAGCAGGTCTGGCAGCATTTGATAGAAACAGAGATAACGTTCTGAGTCTAATATGACCCTTCTTTGGATCGAGTGACACCGGATTCAAAATTTCAACTACAATTTTCTCTCTATACTTGCTGCCAAACAGGCTGGGCCGCTCTAGCACTTTTTGTTTTTATTTCTAATTTTTAGGCGTTTGTTTTCTTAACTCGTGAATGACAGTGATATTATGTGATGCTTCTTTGTTCAATGAAATCTCAGAGTTACTGATATATTTCTGCATTGTTATTTTTGTTCCACAGCACTGCATCATGAAAGAAGTTAAAAAATGGGCTTGGGTATACATGCGACCCTATCATCTCAAGAACAACATACCTGTCTTTTAATAACTTTGAGCTGAATGGATGTAGTGTTAAAAGAAAACTACATTTTCAGCATTAAAGCAACTCAGATGGTCAATCAACTTACTTTTATTTGGTCCTGGGTATAGACACCTCTAATCATTTTAACCTTGAATGGTGTAGTTCTATTTCAGATACTGGCCTCAAACCACAACTTGATTGTGGTCACACAGACTCCAAAGACCTGAGTTATAGTGTCAGGTCTGTATCACCTCCTGATAATGGACACTGGAGCAGTGTGAATTTTGTGCATGCTTATGTACAGGTGCAAGGCAGTGCTCATTCATCCCGATGTTGGCTAACTTCTGCAGTTAATAGATGGCCAATTAAATCGCTAATGATACCAGCAATCAGGGGAGGCGACGTCCTAGTGGTATTATCACTAGACTATTAATTCAGAGCCAGGTAATGTCTTCAGGACTGGGTTCGAAGCATGCCATGGTGGTTGGTGGAATTTGAACTCAATGAAAATCTGGAATTAGGAATCTAAATGATGACCACAAATTGATTGTCAGAAAAAACAACTGGCTCACTAATTGTCCTCTAGGGAAGGAAACTGCCATTTATCCCTGGTCAGGCCGACATGTGACTCCAGACCCAAGCAAGTGGTTGACTCTTGAACTTGCCTTTGAGCATTTACAGATGGGGCAATAAACGCTGGCCTAGCCAGCAATGCCCTCAACCAGTGAAAGAATTAGAAAAAAAAACAAAGAGAAGCTAAATTTAAACAAACATTCTCAGCCTTTTTAATCAGCTTGAAACTTGAGCACTTTGAAACTTTGCTTCCTGGTGCTTACAGTGACAATGTTAGAACTTGCTACACATGATTTCCTCAAACTCAGTCCAATTGATTTCAAATTCAATTTACAATCTAATTTGTTAAATTGTAAAACCAAAGACCCTTTACAGTGGCTTATTAAATTACCTGTGGTATGAAAGGTACCCAGCAATTACAGCTAGATTTGTTACAAACAGAGAAATAATCTTGATCCACTACTTCAGGGCAAGAGTGGTAACCTACCTGTATTGTAGTAGTTGCTAGAGGTGACGACGACTCTGTGAATTTTGGCTCAGATGGCGAACTTTCTGATCCCTGGGATTCCTGACTTCTGGGTTGCTCTGGAGACAGTGCATCATTGCTGCTGTCTTCCTCAAAGGAAAATGTATCGGGGGCTTTCGGGAAATTAACTTGGCCAACTGTCGACAAAGGGAAAACCACAATGTCAGCAACTTGTTTGCGCAAATGTCAGGTACAGTCTGAATTTTTGATGTGTGTATTTTCTGTAGGTTTCTAATGAGCCAAGCAGCAGCTTCTGAAACTAATAGAATGAAATACCCTGAAATATACACATAAAGGTGCCTGTTAATTGTATTGACATCGAAGGGAAACGCAGTAACAAAACTGAAAACCCAATTCTATTATTGCCCTGGGGGAAACTGTGAAAATGATTTCCATGTAGTCCCATTTGTTATATAATAAACAGAAACACCTAGACATAGTTCTAAATACTGTACTAATCTCACAGTACTTAATCTTATAAGAATCACCTTAATAAGTTATTGCCTCAGCTCACTCCTTCATGCATTAATTTTAATGTATAGAAGAAGTTTTAATTTTCTGGTTCAGTTTGGAGTTTTATTCTGAAATTACAGAGACTCCTGACCCATGTCATGTGTGGTCTACTTTGAGACAGGCAGTGAATCTAGTCATTCAATGCCATTAATATGTGACCACATTTATACCCAATGTGGTATCACTTGTGTCAGTTTATTGAAAAGTAATTCATGGTTCTCAAAGCTGCTTTCCTTCTCTTTGGAGCTGAATAGCATTTTATTGGAAAATGAACACAGGGAATTTATTTCACTAAAAGTGCTCGCAGAGTTATTTAAAAACATCAACAATTAATGTATAAAATCATACTAAAGATATATTTTCATCGAAGGTCAGAAATTTATTCTTCACACACCCTTTGTTTGCTTGTTTAGATTAATATGGTGGGCCATGTGGCGTCAGCCTTTATGTCCAATGCAGTAAGCCAGTTTTGACTAACAGCACGATGCCAAAGCATATCACCCTGAGCTTAGTGCCTGCTTTTCCAACAGTCTAACAACCATTTCAGTAGCCTGTGGGACTGCACTTGGTAGTCTCACTCTAATACTGGGAGGTTTTTATTTGAAAATACAAATACAATGGCCAGTGCTGATGAGAATTGTCATTTTACAATATTTAATAACAGATTTGAAACCAAAACAACACTCCTGATAGACAGTAAGAAAGTTTAAATAAGAATGTGACTGTAAATATTTACATGTAATTCTGACATGAATAAATATTGGATGATTTTCACAAATGTTTGGTCTGAGGTCAGGAACGCTATACAATTTCTACATTTTCACCCAATATGAAGTACTTCCTCAGTCTACTCTCTACTTCGGACAGATCTGGTACGTCTCAGACAGTCAGCACACTGTTATTCACAGGATTCATTTGAAAGTTTCCTGACATTCATTCAATGAACAAAGTTTGCTTCATTGAGTCTATAAAAAGAATGACCTATGAACCATAAGGTGATATTTTGTAAGAGACTTTTATTAGACATAGATTTCACTCTACTTTGTGGACAAGATAAGGCATTGTTAAAAACAAAATTAAATCCATTATAAAATAGAAAAAGTTGCCAAGCTCATAAGGCAACAGAATATATGTTTTCATAACAGAGGAGTTTTAAAGCTTTCTAAAATATCTTGGATCTTTGTGGAGACTAAGGAATGTGCACTGCTGTAATGGGGCATCATTATTTTTAAGATAGATATATACAAAAGTGAACTCATGAAATGACTCATACTAAGTGTTATTACATGCCCTGCTTGTTGTCATTCACTCGCCTAGACAGCAGTGAATGGTCATGTCTATACAGACTTGACAAAATGCTTTTACTAAAGAAAGAACACAATGTTCCTGTGGCAAAGACTGAATCACAGAATGAAGTCATTCGAAGGTTTCCTTTAGTCATGCTGTGTTACTATCAGAGTGCACAAATTGCTAGGAAGTTTTCCAGGATTATGGGATCACATTGACAATAGCTCTTGACCTCGGAGGTCTCCAGATAACTGAAGTGTTGAGAAATGGGACTATCTTGACATAGCCAACTGTAGCTGTTGATGGGGGCAGAACATTACCTAATGGACTGGAGACTGTACCTTGCCATGTGACCTGACAAACAGCAATTCTGGTATTTATCATTCAGTCACACACTTAGTCAGATACAACAAAGGGAAAGCAACAGCACTTCAGTGAAGGTAGGAGCAGAGAAATTTTTAATTCTGTCACCCAACCATTCTAGCAGTGTTTAATTGACTGTTAGTATGTACACTGTGATCAAAATATTATCTGACACCTAACTATCTTACAATGTCACCTTATGCCCTAGATAGATCTTCAGAAAGTAGCAATTCCTGAAAACAGTTGCTTTTGTTGCAGTTGTGGAAACTTTGATTCATTGTTTTAATGTTAATAAAATATTAAACCAAACAGCAAAATTATTTATAGGTGGGAGAAAACATTTACTAAGTGAAATAAAACAGGAGGTTGCTACCGTGGTAAAGTGCGATACAAAACACTTTATGGTCTTTGTAAGAGCAAGTGCAACAATACTATGGCCCCACTATTCAGCTGTATCCAATTTTAAACTCTTCCTTCGAACACAGAATCAAAAAAACTATTTGTGACAAGGTCTGGATGTTGCACTGTGTCACACACACAACAGTGCTTTGTTAACAGGATCTTGATTCAAACCTGCCTGAGACTAATGGATGAACAGTTAACTTGATGCTTGGGTTACCAACCCTTCTGGATAATCCTGGGCTATCCAGGAATTTCGGATTGTCTGAATAACTCTCAAGCAACCCAGAGAGGAAAAGTAAATAAAAAAATCCTTTTAAAAAACCCTCTTCTCTTCTTTTGAAGTGAAAAAGTATTGTAACGGAGGAAAATAGAAGCTTAACTGAGTGAAGCAGTTGCAATTTGGAGATTGTGTGATGGCAAATCCAAACAGAGTTGGGATAAACATCATAAGAGGTGGAAATTTGCCATTCAAGTGTAGAACAGGACACACTCCTGAGGTTGTGACTAAAGTGCATTATTGGTGTCCAGGAGAAAGAGCTCATTAGGGATCCTTGGTGGATGTCTGAAATGGGGAGTAGTTCATTCTTCGTTATTAATATCCTTTGTATAAGATTATATATCTTATGGTCTTAGTACAATATTAATCTTTAAAAAAAAAAAGAAATATCTATCAGACTGCTATAGATGCCCTCATTCAGCTGATTCCTTGACACTTTGGAAGAGTGTCGCATCTTGTCTTTTGTAGGAAAACTGCTTATCTGAAGCCCATATCACCCGCCATGGTTTGTGCCTGCAACTCTGAAAATGACTGAAACTCCAGTAGCACAAAGCAAACAGCACAGCAGATGGTCAACATGGCTTGGCTATACAAACGTGTAGACACGTATGCTTTAGGTTTGTCACTGTCACTCTTATTTAAAGATGTCCTTTCACATGATTTATACACACTGGCGCATTACATGCTACAGAAAATATCAGACAGCAGTATTTATGGACTGATAATATAAAACAGAGAGCTCTCGTTACAGACACTGACATCTAGAGGCATGCAGGCATACTTTAAGAAGCAAAAGGTCAAAAAGCTATTAACTATAAGAAAACTGAGGCTCACTCCAAGGCTCAAACAGTAACCTTGTGGCAGCTATTCCATGATTTTGAATACTTCTATCACTGTGGGAGGAACTTTACTGATCTGTAGGATCTTTAATATCAACCCTCTAGTTTTCTTAGTCTAATACTTTGCATCACTTTCCCCCATTAATACTTATTTCAGTAATGTGGTCAAGTGTTTGAGAAAAACTAGGGCCAACCTTTTTTTTTCCTTTATTCATTCATGAGATATGTGTCACAGGCTAGGCCAACATTCATTGCACGTTCCTAATTGCCATGGAGAAGATAATGGTGAGCTGCTTTCTTGAACTGCTGCATTCTTTGGGGTGTAGGCACACTCACAGTCTGGGATATTTACTCACCAACAGTTACTAGAGTGCATCCTGCAGATGTTTCACATTGCTACCACTGTGTGTCTTTGGTGAAGGTGGTGAATGGGGAAAGGTGGTGAGTACAATGCCAATTAAGCAGGTTACTTTGTCCTTGATAGCATCAAGCCTCTTGAATGGTATTGGAGCTGCATCCACCCAGACAAGTGGAAAGTATTCAATTACACTTAGACTTGTGCCTTGCAGATGGTAGTTAGGCACAGGGGATATGAAAGGTGAATTATTCACTGCAGAATTCCAAGTCCCTGACTGCTGTTATAGCCACAGTCTTTACATAGTTGGTCCAGTTGAGTTTTGGGTGAGTGGTACCTCCTAGAATGTTGAAAGAACAAAGGTATTTTCATGCAAGAAATTCCCCTTTTTCTCCCATCCCTCAATTTCTTCTTGCATAAAATTCAGTGTTTTGACCGAAACATGACGCGTGAACGGGAGTAGTTCAATGCTGCCTCTTTCAGTTTAGGCAGTGAATGTTGGTGAGCTGTATAACCTTGGAAACATTTGCATTCAAGCTCAGTTTGTTCCCATGCAACATGCACACAATTGAGCAGGGATCACTGCATTAGTGACCATGAATGGCAATCTTTACTGATGTTTCCTCTTATAGTCCAACGCAATAAAGTCTCCGGTTCTGATAACTTCTAGCACATGAAGGGTCAAACCTGAAAACTTCATCTATCTGTGTGAGCCAATAGGATCCCAAGGAATTAACTTACTGAGTCACATGGAGAGTTTCAGAACTTTGTTTAACTTTGAGAAGCAAGTTGGACTTATGTCAGCTAAATAAGGCACTGACAGCGATTACTTAGTATTTCATAACTCAACTACTAATATCACATCTTTAAAATATTACAAACACTTAGTGAAAAATTCTCAATTAATCTATGGCTGAGTAAATAGCTAATGATAAGTTAACGTCTTATTAAATCACGATAAACTAAATGGGATTGAAAATATCTCGATTGTCTATCAATGGTTCGTTGAGAAACAATCATCTATACGATGTGAAGGTGATGGGTACCATACTCTGCCTATCTTCAGCTGAGCCAATGCACGAATGTACTTTGCCACAGGAG